CCCATCTGTCCGTGCAGGCTTGCATACTGCTATGATGCTGAACGGGTTTCATGGGAGCTTCCAGACTAAGGCAGACTAGGAAGGCCTGGCGATCTACTTCTGAAAATTAGTCAATGAAAACTCTATGGATCACAACAGAATATTGTTCAACACAGTGCTCAAAGATGAGCACCCTAGCTTAGAAGGCACTCAGAGTACACAGTGGGTGCAACGATGGACTCGAGTTTACCCATGAGCATGAAGATGGCACAGAACTGGGCTACATGTTGTTCTGTTGTACCTGGGGTTGCCATGAGTTGGAACAGTAACAATCAGCTTCTTAGAGTTCTTTTTTACCTCTTGTTTTTTGTTCAGTTCTGCTTACAAACAATGGAATTCAGTGAGATAACAGGCCATGCATTTGTTTTGCTACAACAGTGTTAAACAAAAGAACTGGATAGGGAGCCTTGATTAAAGCAACCATTATAACCAAAGTCCACATGACACTGTTAGTGGCACTAAGCAAAGCAACCTTGTTTTCTTTTCAGCCATTCTGGTTTGCTTCAGCTGCAATTTGAAGGGAAAACACAAGTTTTCAGCTAGTATCTTTGAAAACTGCATTTCAGGCAGCTATCAGTGACAGAGCATGATTTCTTTCCTTTCTTTCTTTTTTTAAGAAAAAAAAAAAAGGAGCTGCTTTTTCCAGCCTGTGGATGTTATTGGGGATTGAATCATCTCTCCTTGATAAAGTGCACTGGCAGAATCTACTGGGTCCGGAATGCCAATGATCTAGGCAGTTTCCCCATTAAAGAGAGCAAGTAAAATCCCATTGAGTAGAAGGCCAGATGACATTTCTTTTCCTTATCCTTTTCTTCAGGAGTAATAATCTCTTACCTCATTGTTGTTTAAGGGTCTTTTCGCCAGCCATCAGAAGACTAAAAGCTGCTGTTAGATGGCTGAAGACAGAGGTGCTCACTGAGGTCCGTGTAACTCTTTTGTAATATCACTAAGATGTGATGACATCCTGGAGCCCTAGTTCTAGCAATGTGGCAATTCTGAAGTGAGCAAAGGTAACTGCTGCCCACAGGATTATCAAAATCCCTGCAGTACATCAGCATCCTGCTGACCTGTGAGCCACCAAGCCTCTCTCCATTCTTTCAGTCTAATGTTCTTTCCACCAGAACAGCTCTGAAGGAAGTCCCAAAGGGCTAAGAGATTCCCTGCTGCCTGTCCTTTTAAGCGTGGTGTCTGTTACGAAAATAGGCAGCATGGCGTGGTAGTAGAACCCACTATTTTCTGAATGAGCAGGGGCAGTGTCAGCTTTCAGCAAGCCAGGGCTTTTCATCAGGTGACCCATTATGAATGTCATTGTAGTTGGTGTTAATGCCATCTCTTTCTCTCTGTGTCTTCCACATTTCCATGTACGCACATGTGCTCATATACGCGCGCACACACACACACACACATATTTACAGAGGGATTCATTCAGCCTCTGGGCTCCCTATTTGCAACCTTATTCTTGGAGGTTATTAAATCTTAACATAATGGACTCTTTTTATGATAAAGACAATATCCCCTCACTCTAAACCAGCAAGTACTTACACTGTTAAAATGTCTTTAAAAAAAAAAAAAAGCCTATTGGAGACCATATATTTACACCATTTGGGAGGGGAGGGAACAGGAGAATGGGAGTGTTGTTTCAGAACTTGGGCAATTCTCTTCTGGGCTCATGGAGATGCTGCGACAATTTCCTTAGCACATATGGTTGAGAGTAGTGTTGATTTCTTATCTACCAATAAATCAAGAGATTTCAAATTACAGATGTTAGCTGGGCAACATGGCAGTCTTAAATGACTGGGCTCATTCTCCAGTCCCTACGATCTTACTTTTCTTCTTGATTCTTGAATTTATTGATAATTTAACCTCTATTAGCAAAGCAAACAAATGAAAATGCCCTTTCAAAGATAAACTAATAACATCAGCTGTCTGTGGGAAATGGAAGCAAACGTCATGACTTCTGAGAGTTTTATGAAGTCCCTCCTCTTTTTCTCAGCTGAACTTTGAGCTGTTAGTATTTTACAATCCTTTGGCAAACCAGGTTTCTTGGCTCCAGCCGTATCACACAGAAGACGTTCTGTACTTCTGGCTTTCTGAGACCTTCCCGCATTTTGCAGCTGGTATCTAGTGTTCTGGGCTTTAATCGTCTAAATCCAAAGGACAAATACATAAACAAGCTACAACCACTTTCTTATTTCCAAGGACAATGCTCTTTTTAATTGGCTTTTCACCAATGTTTTATCCCATGGGTTAAAATTTCTTATTATTTTGAAGTTTGGCAGGACTTTAATAATGGCCATTTGGGTGGAAAACAGGATCAATTAACAAATTTTTCCTGTAAGTTTTTCCTTAACAAGAGACCCTGCACTCTGTCATGTGAAGTGGACAGAAAAGAATCAACAAGCTTATCTCCTTCCCTCCTAGGGATTGAAGTACTTTTGGAGAAATGCTGTGTTTATACAGGTAACAATGGTACAAAAATCGTGGATAAAAAACATGACACAAATGACATAGATGACCATAGCTACGTAAGATTCAAAAAAGAGAGCGCCTTTATGATTTGAAAGTTTTAGAGGTCTTCAGAAAGGAAATGGAATTTAAGTAGGACCTTGAAGAATGGGTAGGATTTTTGAGGTTGAGGAAGGCAGAGAGTAGGATAAAAGGTATAATGAACACAGATGCAAAAGAAGGAGAGAGAAAGGTAGGTTTGAGTGAGGTACAGCAAGTGATTGTACCAGAAAACTCAAGTAAGAAAGAAATGGAGTATAAACCTGGAGAAGTGGTTTGAATGAGCAGAAAGCAGTCAAGACCAGGGATGGGAAAGTATTCGATCCATTAATATAAATAATGAAGTTAGAAGGAAGAGCTGGTTTGGGGAAGAAAAAAAGTTCAGTTTATTGTTAAATTTCATATGACTGTACGTTAGCCAAATGACATTGTACCAAAAGATAAAACTATATTTTTTAGAAACCAGAGCCCACTCATATTTGCCTTTGCCTTATTTTGGCACTTTGTAGTGATAGCCTGAGTGAAGATTGTGCTATTTGATTTATCATCAATCACATGAAGCAAAGTAAGAGCCTTGAATTTGGAGCTGGAAGGGCCCTTAGAAGTATATAATTTTTATTGCCAGCGAGCTAATTTGGTGTCTAGAGAAATTAAGTGATTAGCCTGAGCCATGGGGGCTCTTAGTGATAGAGATAATATTAAAGCACGGTTGTCCACTAATTTCTGATCATCACATCGCCGAGTTTCTAGTTATCCTTCTAAAAAGTGTATAAACAAACATAAATTATACCTTTACATAGCTGTATACCCTAGATCATATCAGATGGACTTTTTAAAATTCAGTCTTTTCTCTCCATTGGTTACCTTCCCTCTCTCCTCCCTGTCTCCAACTTATCATCCCTCCTCTATTCAACATGTAAGACGTCTCATTCTAATTAGAATTGACAAATCAAAATTTATATGATCATGTATAAGCACATACATATATAGTGTTTCATTTACAAAAATGAAAATGTATATACTGTTTTCTATATTTTTACTTTTCTCACTCAAACGTACCTTGGGAAAATCCTTCATGAGTGAAAGGTTCTAGCCTCATCATTTCTTCTAATGGTTACATAGTACTCCATAGTAGGGATATATCATGACTTATTCTACCATCTGCCCTACTCATGGGGTTCCAGAATTTTTTATCTTTCCAAATAGTACTTAAGTATACATGCTTGTACGTATATCCATACATGCTGGTTATTTTATTTCCATGGGATAGAGTTCCAAGAGTGGAATCTCTGGGTCAAAGGACATGTATTTTTAGTTCCAAAAACTATTGCCAAACCGCTTCCCAAGAAAGCTGTAACATTACACATGTGCATCAACAATTAATGAAAGTACATCCTTTACCTAGATCCTCATAGACCATAGTATTATAAATTTTATTTATTTATTTATTTGCAAAAATTGGTGTAATGTAAAATCTTGGTGATACATTATTTGCATTTCTTTGACTACAGATGAATTAGATGGCCTTTTCATAAGCTTATTGGCCATTTGAATTTTCTTGTTTTATAAATTGTGCTTTCATATTCTTTTTTCATTTTGTCAACAGACTATTTTGTCTCGTCGGTTTTTAAGAGCTCCTGATACAGATATTTTTGCCTCTCCTCTAGGGTTGAAAATATATTTTTTAAATTGCTTATGGTATATTTTGCCAGGCAAAAGACTTGAATTTTATGTAGTCATCTGTGTTTATATTCTCTCTAATAGTTTCTATGTTTTCTGCCTTGCTTAGGAGCCTACCCCTTCCCTGCCTCTAGATTGTGTTTATGATCCCTTAGATTTTCTTACAAGATATTTATTTATTTATTATTTTACATTTTAATCTTTAATCCTTCTAAATCTATCTAGAATTTATTTTTGGAAATGGTATAAAATAAAGATCTAGTTTTCTCTTCTTCCAGATGAATAAACAGTTTGTCAGTTTTGTTACATTAAATAATCCATCCTTTTGCCACTAAATTGAAATGTCTCCTTGGTCATATATTAAATCCTCATTTATATTTGGATCTACTTCTAAATATTCTTTTTCACATATATATTTGTTTATTCCTATTTCAATACTTATTGATTTGATTACAGTCACTTTACAGGATTTTCTGATATCTGGTAAGGCAGAGTACACAGATGACTTTAAAGGTAGCTATCAAATGCTTAGGTAAATGCATTAAAAATCTATTTGCTAGACAGCAAGCAGAAATTAATACACTGAAATAGTACTTATGTAATTAAAATTATTCTTTCCAAAATCTTTTTAAGATCTATGTTTATATAAAACAAACATGTGAATAAAATGTTTACTGTGCTTGTGACATCTTATATAAATGACAATTAGTTATATTTTTTTAAGTCCTTAGGTGATGTACTGTGTTAATGGCACTGTTTCCTTGCTTGATTCACAGATTGATTCTTCTGAGGAATCATCCCTGACTGTGTCTTCTCTGTAAGATACAACTGCTTCCTAGTGGGAATACAATTCAAGGGAACGCTCTGAAGTTTTCCTGAAGAGAAATTCCATGGGGACTGTACCTGACCCTCTGAGATCGGCTAAAACTTCCCTGATTGCTGCTTCTGGAAAAGAAGAGGAACTAGGAGAGGTGAGATCTGCCTCATCTCAGCACAGTCCAGCTCTCTTGTGTAAGAATGCCAATGGCCTTTCAGGGGCTCCCGCAGAACCAGACCTCAGTCACAGGGCAGTGGCTGAGGCCCTGATGCAGGCTTGTGAGCATGAGACAACCCAGCCAGACATGTCTTCTTCTGGTATCTTCAGTGAGGTGGAGAAAGCGCTTCCCACAGTCAACTCTCCTGGTAACACCCAGCAGCCAGGAAGCAGCATGCCTGCAGCACCAGCCCCCTGTTCTGCAGCAGGGAAGGATCTTACACAAGCACCATTTACCATGCCAGCCAATCATTGCACCAACCAGGCCATCCTGGCTGACCAGCTCAAAGCTAGCCCCTCATCTGTGCCTGAAGACACCCAGGTGAAATCACAGAGAACTTCAGGTGGAGAGCAGCCTGAGAAGTCAGGTTGTCCTGCAGGAGACAGCCATGGTAGCAGCAAAGATCAAGTGCCCTGTGATTTTCCTTCTCAAGAAACAGTCCAGGGAATGGTGCAAACTCCAAAGATAGCAACCCCTGTGTCTAGTCATTCAGCCTCTCCTGTAGGTGAATCTGAAGGGGAGAGGCAGCAAGACCTTTGTGACTCTGAGCCAAGGTCCTGTGACTCTCCAGCTAGGGAATTTGGGTATTCAGAAAACAAACAGCCCTTTCCCACTGCCTCGGACCCCCAGGCCGTGTCTTCTGTGGCACCTCAGCCATCTCATCTCTCCAGCAAAAGTCCAACATTTCCTCCAGACTCAAAGAAGGTGCTGCTGCCAGCACAGCATCAGGGGTTAAGGTTCAAAGAGGTAAGCACAATGACCAACCAAGCTGAAAGCGAGATCAAGGACGTTACCAGCAGGACTCGGCAAGATGTTGAGGTGCAGGCAGTGGCAACTGTCGAAAGCAGATCAGTCTCTACCAGCCCCAGCATCCTCGCTGCCTTTTTAAAGGAAAACCCTGCTCCTAAGCGTTTTGAACAAGAGCAACTGCGTGTCATCTGCCGTGGCAGTGGCAGCAGGAGCCACACGTTGGAGCTGTCTGACGGCACACTAGCCCCCCAGGAGGCGAGTCAGCGCTATGGCATCATGCCAGAGGTACACGTCCTGGCAGCTGGAGCTGGTTTCACAGCTTTGCAAGGGGAAAGTAAATTAATGAGCTTACCAGACGAGGTCCTTCAAGCCTCACCAATCAGTGCAGCATCCAATAATATTCAAGATATGTGTAAAGAAGATGAGAAGTCAGCAGGAATGACTCCAGAAAGGAAAGATCTGATCTCTAAGCAGCTTTCAGGTACTAATTTTGGCTCCCTGAAAGCTAACCCTGTTGACCAGATTTCTATCTGTGCAGGCAGTCAAGATGAAATAAGCCATGGATTAGGGGAATTTCAAGCCAAGCCATCTGAGTTTACAGTGAAAACCATCAATGGCCACCGAACAGACTCAGACTGTAAACTACCCAACTCTTGTGTTCCCGCTGGCAAAGCTGGCCAGTCTGAGAAGTTGGATCCCACTGAGAAAGGAGGTACAGGGGAGCAGAAGCCTGCATCTCCTCAGATAGTAAAACAACCAGAGTCTGCTGGCACTGATACCCCAGGTGTAAATGAAAAGGCAGAAGCCAAAACCCTACTGTTCAATCCCAAACCTCAAGAAAGTGGAGGCACAGAATTAGCTGGTAATCCCACACCCTCCTCAATGAGAAAGAACCAGGAGAGCGCCTTAGAAGAAAATAAACAAACCAAGGCAGCCACAAGCCTGAGTCTGCCTTCTGATTCCATGGGTGACTCCAGCCCAGGTTCTGGCAAGAGGACCCCTTCTCGCGCGGTCAAAGCCAGCCCCCGCCGGGGCAGCCGCGTCAGCGAGTTCCTCAAAGAGCAAAAGTTAAACGTCACAGCAGCTGCTGCTCAGGTAGGACTTACCCCAGGAGAGAAGAAAAAGCAGCTTGGCGCCGACTCCAAACTCCAGTTGAAACAGTCCAAGCGTGTCCGAGACGTGGTGTGGGATGAGCAGGGCATGACCTGGGAGGTGTACGGTGCTTCCTTGGACCCTGAGTCCTTGGGTATCGCGATCCAGAACCACTTACAAAGACAAATCAGGGAACATGAGAAATTAATCAAAGCGCAAAGCAGCCAGTCCCGGAGATCCATTTCCTCAGATACTTCTTCAAATAAAAAGCTCAAAGGAAGGCAGCACAGCGTTTTCCAGTCCATGCTGCAGAACTTTCGACGCCCCAACTGCTGTGTTCGCCCTGCCCCTTCATCTGTGTTAGATTGAAAGAGGAGGCATATGGGAGCCCATGTATACATTTAGCGTATTCAGAAGTGTTGAACTGTGTGTAAGCTTACGTATATATTGTTTTTCTGAGAGACCTGAAAGAAAAAGAACCTATGAATAGAAAACAAGTATTAAATACAGGAAATTGCTTTTAAGAATTTTACGGTCCTTTGTCTGGGACCTCATAAATAAAAATGTCATTTGAATTTGAAAGAAAGAGTGAGAGAAGAGAAGCAAGCTTCACTGGATGTTTACAACCTTACTTATGTGGAAATAATATTCACTGTTTTTTTTTAAATATGATATTGCTTATAGAAATAACATTATCATTATACGTGTGTCATTTTGTATTACTGCCTCAATTTATCACACTATAGTATTTCCATTAAAATCCTTGCTTTATATTAGAAGTAGCAAAAACACTATTAGCAAAACACCATTACAATTTCTAATCCTATTGTAATAAGGGAGTCCTGGTGGCACAGTGGTTAAGCACTCGGCTGCTAACCGAAAGGTCAACAGTTCAAGCCCACCAGCAGCTCCGTGGGAGAAAGGTGTGGCAGTCTGCGTCTGTAGAGATTGCAGCCTTCGAAACCCCTGTGGGGCAGTTCTACTCTGCCCTGTAGGGTCACTATGAATTGGAATCGACTTGCTGGCAATGGGTTTGGTGTTTTTTTGCTTTTTTGCAATGAGAATGCTGTTAACTACGCAAAATTCCAGTAGGCGATAAGAACAATAGAGTAGAAAATCAAAACAAATGTGACTCGTTTCTGGGTCAGACAGCATTAAATAAAAGCATTTAGATGCATAAAATGCCAATAGCAATTAATATTTGTAAACATATGCAGATAACCCTTTTTATAAACCTTGTTATAACAAAAACCAAAAAACCAAACCCGTTGCCATTGAGTCGATTCCGACTCATAAAGACCTTGTTATACATGCTAATAAATACAAGAAAGCTATATTATGAAAATTAGCTAAGCTTTTGAATATGAATACTACCTACATAAAACACGGATTTATATATACAGATTTTCCTCCATTGAAGGCAAGGTGCATCTCTGTGATTTTGACTAGATTTTTTTCTTACCCTACAGGAAGTGCATGGGACTGAATTTTTGAAAAGAGTGATCAAGTTGATGATAATACTAAATTTTATGTTATATGATTGTCTTCCAGTAACATTCTATGGAGAATGTTAAGGTTCTGGTAAGGAATTATAAATAGCCAACTACCAAACACTCTCTCTTCTGTGTTGGAAAAAAAAGAAAAGCCCCATGAGTAACAAAAACGATGCAATTTATGTTTTTGTTTTGCATTGGTTCAGTACCTTCTAATAAAAAATGTAGTCAATACCAAATAGAACACAAGCTTCCTTACAGTTTTTGTATGAGACTAGTATCATCAAATTGCTTAAGTTTATAACCTTAGTAAAGGGGCAGCTGCTACAAACTTATTTATTTTAAGAGAAATAACATCATGTCTCATGCTTTAAAACCAATAATGGTTTGAGCTTTGGGGGGGCTATGTTCCTTGAGAGCGGGCACCTGTTTAAACTTAGCATGTACCTGTCCCCAGATGAGGAGACTGGTGTATGGAGACCAGTGGTTGCTTTAGGGCTGGGATAGTACAGAACAGAGGAATGAACTAGTGCCCTGAGAAGGTTTCCCTTCCTGTATTCATTGTAGGGAGAGCATTGGTCTCCATCTTACATTTAGAAAATCAAATGTTGGAGGAGGTGCTGGTTGCCTTCTTTGAATTCACTCCCCCAGTCAAACAGAAAAGAGTATCTAACCATGTTATCTATCCAGAGATTCATAAATGCCATTTGTGCAATAAATTCACAATATCTGGTTTTTGTTTTTGTTTTTTTAAGTTCAATTTTTCAAATTCTAAACATATGCATATGGGGGAAGAAAATCATACCTGAACATTAAAACCACAAGCTACACTGGACACCTAAATTAGTAAAAAGCCATCAATTTCTTTTAAAGAATTTAACTGTATATGAAACCCTGAGTTTTTAATTCTCCAACATACATACCCTGAGAATGATTAATGACAGTTGTTGTAATTAGAAATTAAAATGAATTTTTTAGTAAGGCACTTTTTTTTCAGTTTCTCACCTATTGACCTATATTAAGAATGATAAAGTAGAAATTACAACCTGTGTTATTAATGATCAGAGATTTAATCTAAAAGTCTTTCTCTTTTGGTCTGAATTACCCATTTTTGTAGTGATTATGTTGCGTCTGTTGTTTCAGATGCTTTTGCCAGGATATAGTCTCTCTCCTGTCTCCTTCTCCCGGGCTGTCTCTCTGACATATAGGCATACACACTGTATACACAGAATACACCCTGTGTACACAGTAGCAGCTGTCAACAGCACCCACTCCAGATGGTAAGCCCTAGGTAATCCTCTGCTGTGAAACAGCTACAACAGGCTGTTCCTGCATTAAAGTAAGAGGGAAGAAAGAATTCAGCATCCAGCAATAATATTTATTTTCATGAGTTTGGAGTAATCACATGAGTTATAAATAGTTAAATGAAGCAGAGACCTAAGAGATATCTGTCTTAAATAAATTGAAACAGCTAAATTTAGTGTTGTAGTTGTGTTTCTCAAATTAAAGCTTTAAGAAAAACTGTTTGATGTAGTCGTTTAACTGGTTTTCTTTGGTACTAGAACCAAATTCTTTACTTTTGTGGTGCTCTAGGCACAGCCACAAAATAGTACAAAGCTTTCTTGTTTTGTGGCTTATCAAATCCTATAAAGCTAACAGCTTTCAAAAGCAATACCAGAAATATACCCTCGAATAGCTAAATAAGATAGGAGCCTATTAAAGACAGTGTTTTTTGCATTATGATACCCTAAGTTACTAACTCTCACAATAAACCCTTTGTTTGGAAATATTCCTTTACTTCAATCTGTGATACAGCATAGACATTTAGTACATCATGAGTGACACCTTAACTTCATTTAACAAATAAAGTAACGACAATTTTTCTGGTAGACTCTTTGAACTTGTTCAGCTATTCCTTACTTTACTTCACGACACACACTGAAAGTTGTTTTTGCCTTTAATTTCTTTTAGATGTGATGTGGTCATTCTTAATGCATTTTAGTTTTTGAAATATATGGAGGAAATGTTTTATTAAATCAAGAAGTGTAAAATGTTTCTTAAACCAGTAGTAAAAGGGATGAATTAGAACTCAGTGTCTGGAAAATGATTAAATATTCAAAATGTTAAGTTGCTATACCACTTACCAGGTAAATGCTAGAAGTTTTAATTTAAATATTGACATTTCTATTTTTGTGACCACACACCAAAAAACAAACAAAAAAAAAGATCGCATAGCTTCAGCTATCATATTCTAAGTTCCCATGTGTTTATCCTGTGTGCTTTTCTAATTATCTCTTTCTGGATTGTTGGCTTTTAATGCTGTAGACCAACTGCTTTACATACAGTAAAATCCTGATTAATTTTAGTGTTTTAGATAGTGGCATACATTGAGCAATTCATAAGTCAAGGTTAACCAGAAACCGTTTTTGTTGTCATCCAAAGTGAAATATCTACAAAATGTATTAGTATGTTTTTCTACCTTGACCAGTTCAACTATATTGAGTGTAATTTGATCTGTGATGATTTTTGAATCTTAAGAATTGTCTAATATTTATTATTTTGGATACCAGTGTTTTCCATGTTACATGGTAAGCATCAAAACTGAAAGAAATTGGACTGAATATGTATGCATAATATACCTAGAGGTTGAAATTTTGGAACCAAATTCTTATAGAAGCTTGTGGCCTTAAAGTAGAAAGCAGAACAGAAAAATGGCATTGGTGACATCCAGAATGTTGAGGGTTTACTATTCCTACATTATTCTAAGTTATTCCTCTTATCTCTGGGTATTCCTACCATTCTGGAAACTTCTGTGTACCACACCAAGAATACAGTATCCTGTGACTTTGAAGTTTGTTTGCAGAGGTTATATACAACAAATGTGCTGTTAAGGTAAACTCTTTGGCCTTTGCTGTATCCACTCAGTTACTGTTTTGCTCCCAAAATGTGAGAAGTCATCTTCTCTTCTTCCTACATACTGTGTAAGTGTTAAAAAAAATTTTCCACTTATGGTACCACATAATTCACCATATTTCTTGACTACTTTTTTAAAAACCAGTGTAAAGAAAAATAATACATTAAGGTGAGATTTGCATATATGTGAATGAGTTTTTGCTAAAAAACTGGGCACATGTAGCCTTGTGTAGGCCTCTACTTACCTGATTTACTAATTGTCTACAATGCTGCCGTGGAGATGAAGCTGTTTACTCTCTCCTGCTTTGTCCTAAGTGGTGTTTGAAAATTGAGCCTGTGAATTTCCCTTTGTGATAATAATACAGTGAACTCAACAGTATCTTGGATGAGCGAGCTGCCCACATTTTCGCCACCCCTGTTTTGTCTACACAGTGAATCCGAAGTCTTGTCCATTTCTGCTTCAGTTTTGCTGATTTTCTATTGAGACGTGAGTGCTTTGTTTTCTATTAGCCATTTCCTGGATGTCATATGTGGCCCTTTTGTTGTTTCTCTCCAAATGTGGGTCAGCTGCTGCCACCTGGCAAGTAACAGGTGATATGCTGAATCTCCTGTCCATCCTGGTAACTAGATACTCATAATGAAATTCTTTAACTGACTGAGTAATTAGAAATGTCATCTGTGAAGACACACGGGCTTAAGGATGTCTACAAAATGTTAGACATTTTTGCAAAGGGAGAAAAATAGTCTTGTAAATACTGAAACAAGGTTTCCATGAACTTTATCCTACTCTCAGAAAAAAATTCTCCTTGTCTCCAGAAATCAAATGAGCTTCGTTTGCAATGACAAGAACATAAATGAAGATGGATTGTGGTGGAAAAATTGTCTCACAAATAATCAGCGACATCTGCCAGAGGTCATTATAGCTGCTTTTAACTGTGAACACGCACCAGCTAAACGACTCACTTGCCACAACCAAATAACCTCTCTCAAAGTAAATCACATACATCTGTATATATGTGTAGACAAAAACAAACAAACAAAAAATCCTGAAAAACCA